GATGAGAGTAGGATGGATGCTTTTGAAAAAGGATTTTGAGAGGTGATTGATAATTCAACTTTTTATTTGGTAAAATGTTCAACAAATAAGTTGCCATTTGTAAGGCATGGTGCCAAAAACTTGGAGGTAAAGATGCATGAATGAGTAAAGTCCGAACTATATTATTAATAGAACGGATTTTTCGTTCAGCTTTTCCATTTTGAGATGAAGTATGAGGGCATGAGAAACGAAATGAAATTCCATTTGCTTCACAAAGTTTTTGAAAGTTACTATTGACATATTCTCTACCATTATCGCACTGAATATTTTTAACTTCCAGTTGAAATTGAGTTTTAATATATGCTCTTAATTTTTCAAAGGTTGGAAAAACTTGAGATTTATGTGAAATTGGAAAAGTCCACAGAAAATTCGAATAGTCATCCAAAAAAAGCACATAATATTTATGACCGGAAGTACTCAATACGGGAGATGTCCATACATCACTATGTAGTATGTCAAATGGCATGAATGTAGAATTTTGCGAATCAATAAATGGCATTTTAACATGTTTACCAAGAGGACAAGAAGGACACAAAGTTGAAGTGGACTGTAAATTAGGAGCACATTCAATCATTTTATTTTTCCGAAGAGAATCTAAAATAGATGCTCCTGGATGACCCAAACGGTTGTGCCAGACAGAGGTAGATAAAGCTGCAAACTCAGAAGGAAAGATGTGTTTATTCTTTGTTGTGTTGGTGATGGGATATAGTTGGCCTTGACTCTCACATCGCATTAGAACCATCCCCGTCTGAAAGTTCTTTACAGAAAAACCAAATGGATCAAATTCAACAGAAACATGGTTATCGGTAGTGAATTTACGAACAGAGATTAAATTCTTAATCAATTTCGGTGCATGGAGGACATTAGATAAAGTTAATGGAGGGTGTGGGGGGGATAAGTTAGCATTTCCAAAACCATGAATAGGAACTGAATGACCATTTCCTACGATAATACTATTATTTTTGCTCAAATTAAAATAAGATGAGAGATTACCTTGTGTGGATGTCATATGAGATGTTGCTCCAGTGTCCATGTACCATGATGGGTCAGATTGAGCAAGATGGAGAGTGTGAAGAGCAGCTTCAATATCTGTTGGGCTTGGCCCAGTTGCAGCAAAGGCAGCAGATTGTGGCCTATTTCCAAGAATTCCTGCTTGCTGAGTTTTTGGGCCAGCATTGGGCCTAGGCCAATAAGAAGGATACGGAGATGGAGGAGGAGCCCATGGTGCATATTGTTGTTGTTGCCACTGTTGCCAAGGATACGGAGAAGGAGGTTGCTGCTGCCAGCCCGAGTTCGGGCCACCGCGTCCACCACCACCATTGAACTGCATCCCTCCGTGGTTGTGACGTCCTCCTCTGCCGGAGCTTCGACCTTTACCTCGGTTGCCGTTTCTGCCTCTGTTGTTGATACCGCGATTTCCATTGTTTGCAGTCAAATTTCGGGCGGAAAACGCGTTGGGAGAGGTGGAGGAGTTGTCAGAGGTTGGGGTTTTCACGAGTAGGGCCGTTGGAGAAGAGATAGTGCTGGATTCGCGTGCAGTACGTTGGGCCATCGTCGATTCTTCTAATTCCAATCGCGATTTCGCCGTTTCAAAGGTTGGTAATGGATCGTGTTGCTGAATGTATGTGACAAATCCTGCATATGAATCTGTCAGTCCAGAAATCATCTTCAACACAAGACGAGTGTTGTTGACGGGAGAATCAACATTTGCAAGTTGATCTGCGAGGAGTTTGAGGCGATTGCAATATGCTTTTGTCGACGGGAAATCTTCCAAGTGCGTGTTGGTGAATTGATGTTCGAGGTGGACTGCTCTCGAATGCTTGTTATCTTGAAACATAGCAGCAATTCGTTTCCAACAGCTTTCGGCGGTGTCGTTAAGCACCAGGATAGAGCTAAGGATGTCCTGGGTAACGGTGGCATACATCCACTGTAAAACAACAGCGTCAAGACGGTTCCAGAGGTTTGGATCATTGGTCTTTGTTTGTGCGACTTCTTGTTGGGTTGCCGCATCGGTGGGAGGGATAATATGATCAAGGACGTTGTGGACACGTGCTTGAACCTGAAACAGAGCAGACCAAGAGAGATAGAGACTGGAATCATTATCTAATGTGATTGGAATGATGGTTTTCACGTTTGTAATTGCGAAGGCAGAGTGAAATTTAGGTTGAGATGTTGGCGTTTCCGTGCCGGTGCTGTTGTTTGAAGAGTTTTCGGAGGTTGAAGACATGGTGGAAGAGAAAAAGGAATTTGTTTGGAGCGGAAGAGAGAAAAAAATGGATCAAAACCGTTCTGATACCATATAAGAAAATGTTTTTCACTGCTTTTTATTGATCATGAACATGTATTATATACAAGAATTACAATCTGCATAATAGGAAACTAATTATGCCTAATCAATGTAAATATTCTTTGACTTTATATCTCATTAGTGTACAATATTTGTTCCAAATATAGATATGTTCTGTCAGGGACGATTATTTACGGCCTCTGAGACAACGTTTTTTAAGCGTTGCGTTACCAAATTCGGCTATAATTAACAATCGTTACCTTAAACCTGAATCAGGAAGATCGTTTTTGAAGTGTAGCCATAACTTATAAGTTGTTGTTTTATAGTGTCCACATAAAATATACAATTTTGCAATTATTATCAAAATAATATAGTCAATAATAATTGGCTTCAAAAATAATATTGATTATATAACTTAAACCATACATCCATAAAAGTTGTAATATAATAAAATCGAGTTCAAACTTTAATTCAAGATATAGTATATAGAGTACACAAAATGCCTAACGTAACAATATTACTTTTAATACTTTGAAGTATGACCCTAGTAAAATAACTAAAAACATAGTTCAGCAAAAGAACAAAAATCATATTTTAAGTTTAATGCTTTCAACTACAAGCCAAAAAAAAAAAAGACATCATCCAACTCATTCAAGTTTGTCTTCTAGGAGTAAAGCATCCAGATCGTCCTCTTGAAATTCGTTAGATATGTCATCCTCCATAAATTCTTCATCTACGTCGTCCTCTTGAAATTCACCATCTATATCCTCCTCTTGAAATTCATCATCTAGATCTATGTCGTCCTCTTGAAATTCGTATCTACGTCGTCCTCTTGAATTTTATCATTTAGGTCGTCCTCTTGAATTTTATCATTTATGTCGTCCTCTTGAATTTCATCATTTATATCGTCCTTTTCAACATCTTCATTGATACATTGCTGCATAAGAAAATAAAATAAAACACATTAACCATAAGTATTTTTGGTCTAAAAGACAATTAAGACATCAACAAGAATTAAACCTCGCACAAATAAAAACTAAACCAATGAGCAAAACACATTGTTTATATTCTTCACATCTCATGGATGTGAATTAATTATGAAGGTTTTTAATGAATGTGAATTAATTATGAAGGTTTTTAATGGATGTGAATTTTCGTTCTAAACTGTAGATTCTCATGAATTCTTTTTTTCAGCATTCCTGGTTTCAATATAATTTTCTCGTCATAATAATGTCATGAAAAGAAATATATAAATTTAAAGTATATGCAGGGAAGATGTAACTTTCGTGCATGTTAATTCTTAACCGCTTCCACCCTTGCCTCACCTTGCAACCATTGAATGATGACTGGTGACTTCGTCGGGTAAATAACTTTGAATGGAGTTTGTCCAGTAGCAGCGTCACATATAGTATCAAACCAATATTTTGTCTAAGAAGATTGCTTCTTAAGCAAGTTCTTATGAGGTATACACACTTTTTTTATTATCAAGAAACGAAAAGTAATGTTGTGATGAAATAGTTGCAACTTAAGTCTAGAAAAATGTGTATCTGGCGCTATCAAATTAGTTAAGAAAGCAATGCCTCAAGAAATGGCAAGTAATATTGTGATAAATAGAGGAAGCAATGCCTCCATTGTTATTTGATAACAATAAAGCATGTTAGCCTGTTGGAGATGTTTGCAGTTAGTAAACAAATCTTTATTGTAAATCTCATTCAAATGGAGGGCTAGAAACTGTAACATAATCAGACATAAAATTCTAAAAGGTCAACCAAAAAAACATATGCCTAGAGGTTCCTAATTCTGGTTTGATAATGATTTCCAAATTTACAGATTGATAACTTTCAAGAATGATAGCAAAATTTGAAAAAGAATTCATTATCAAATTTATTTGAATTAGAATGATAGGAGCCTAAAATCTGAGAATAGAGGAATCACATTCAATCAAACTCACAAGTTAGCACTTTATAGCTTCATCCTAATACTGTATTCGATAATAGCTTCATATAGATGTCGCCTTTTCATAGCCTGCTCGAGACTGGAAGGTGCATCGGCGATCTTCCTATAGTGTTTTTGTGTAGAACTTCGAGCGACAAGATGTTGCTGAAAATGCCGGTAACGCAGAACTTTCAAACATTAAGACCAAGAAGTAAGTGCTAATTTTGAATAACAATACCAGAGTTCAAATTGCATCCGATATGCGATGTGCTTCAAACACTCCATCAGCAGTCGTAAGCGACAATTGAGCAGTAGTGCCATCATCGACGAGAAAGTACATCCAATGGCAGAACATCAAGTCGTTTCATCAAATAACATCACCTATATCAAAATAAAACAAAAACAACTCTCATTATTAGTTGAATTTCAGCTTTTATTTCATCATTTAGCTAATAAATCTAGAATACACAATTTGTTATTACACATTTTCAAGCTCTCAAGTCATGATTAGCACAATTCATATTGAATCTTGCTTTGGCCCTTCAGACAATTTTCATTAAAACCAATATATGAGACAAATGACAATGTGCATCAACAGAGTACTAAAAGCAATTAAGTGAGAATGAATTTGAAAAGTACAAAAGTAAATACTACCTTCCCACAAACAGGAAAGTTGTCACTTCTTTCCATCAACTGATATATGTCTTCTGAATCTTCATACAACCAGAACAAGTAGGGATCATATTCTAGAGCCCACATCATCTGTTAAATATTTAAAGTTAGTTATTATTACAATCACTATAGATTGTTCCTATTGCAGTATGCAATTCAAAAACTTGATTTCAACAAACAATTTCTAACAGAAATTGATGCAAACTGTTATTAAGGCACCGAGTATGTTAAGACGTGACTAAGATCAAAGAAAAATGCCATGGAAGTTCAATATTGTTGACATATATTTACATTTTATGAGAATGCGCGAAAAGCAAAAAGATATGATGGACCCTTTGATAGTTTGCAATCAGACCTGAGTAATTGTCGTTTGGTCCTAGCAGGAGAGCAGTAGCATTATCCAGATTTTTCTGTAGGAGAGCAGTAGCCTGCAACAGATATTCATATTGTACACATGTAAGGTTAAAATTTAACAGAAAGGAAAACAGCAATAATGCCCTGAACTAGTGTAGAAATACCTCTTCTAATGAATATTCCAACATAACATTTGCTCCCAGCCATAAACACACATAATCAGTTTCTTCTATAGAAGCACGTGAATATATTCCTTCTGACACCTCAAAATCAGCAATAAGTTCCTGTATCCAAAGTCAAACATAAATCTCTAGTTTAAAACATAACTAACGTCTTTCCCTTGTAGTAAATGAATTTAAACAGTGGTACTGGTATCATATTGTTTATAAGTGGAAGCTGACATTATAATTAAATACATCAGGTTCCAAGCCTCTTTTGACCATCCTATTGAATAGTTCTTTAGCCTCAGTAATACTTTTTCTCAAACAATACCCATCCATCAGAGCATTGTAAGTAATAATATCCGGTTTCTCGCCTCTTTTCATCATCATAACAAACACACCTTGTGCTTCTAAGATCCTTCCTTCTTTACATAGTGCATCAATCAATATGTTAAATGTAAAGTCATCCATTTCAATGTTTTCCCGCACCATTCTCGTTAGTAACTGGGTTACATCTTGCCATCGACCCAGACTACAACAACCACGAATTAAAGAGTTGTACGTGACAACATCAAGTAAAACTCCCTTATCAGCCATCCGAGAACACAAACTAAGCGCATCCGTGACAAGTCCATCTTTGCATAGTCCATCAATGACTGCACTATACATTACTAGATTCGGTTCAACCGACCGTTCCTCCATCTCTTGTATCAAATGCAACGCAGCTCTAGTTTGCCCATTTTTACACAACCCATTGATTAAAATCCCATAAGTAAACTCATCAAAAAGATACCCTTGGGCTACTAGGTCTTGGTAAAAGTTCAAAGCTTTAAAAATCATCCCATTCATACAAAAACCATTAATAATTGTATTAAAAGTCACCATGTTAGGTTCATAGCCACTCTTAATAATGGTACCCAATAACGAAAAAGCAAAACCCATATGAGATTGATGACAAAAAAACAGTTAATCAAGATGCTGAAAGTAGCAATGGAAGGTGAAATTCCCCTAAGTTGAAACTGCGAAAAAAGAGAAATTGCAGTGGGATAATGACCCATCCTCACAATAGCTCCTAAAACCTTGTCAAATTCACAAGTGGGTGGCGGAGAAAGTGCGCGAATCAAGCAATTGAAACGAGTAACAGCAGCATCTACATTATGAAACCCAGAACTTTTTCTACCATAGTGGCGTTGCAAATGACTGAAGAAGCGATAAAGAAACAATGTAGAAGAAGTTAGAATAGGATTAGGAGAGAATTTGGGAATGGCATACCTTGGTTTTAGCATCATCAATAGAGTGAGGTGATTTCACACTCGAGATTCGTTCCGTTCCGTTCCTCTCTCGTTTTCTTCTTCAACTGCGGAACGAAAAGCTCTTGTTGTCACTGTGTGTTGCAGCAAGGGTGGTGTGTGGTTTTTCTCTTTAAATCAGAACCATTCTTCATTAAAAAAATGATAATAATGCAAGGTGAATAGAAATATGATGCTGCATAGGGTTTATGTTTTGATTCTTTTTAGTCTCCACCTCCAACATCAGCTCATGCTTTGTGGCAAGATTTTTGTGTATTTCTATGTTTTTAGAAGAAAAATTCCTGTTTAATTGAAATATATATAAGTTTTATATATATATATATATATATATATATATATATATATATATATATATAATTTTTTATTTTCTGTTTAATTGAAATTTTTTATTTTTAAATTTCTGTGTTAGAAAAATATTTTTTTTTATATATATTAATAATGTTTAGAGAAAAATATTTGTTTTTTAGTGTATAAGTTTTGGAGAGAAGATTGCCACCAAAAATTTGATAATTCTAAAAAAATTTATACAATATTTCAGAAATGTAGCATTTTATTAGAACTAATGTAACAATCTAAAAATGTCCCCAAAAATATTTTAGAGGACAATTGTCAAACATTGCTAAAGAAATAATATTTTAACGCTCTAAAATCGTCCCCAAAAGCAGTTAAGGGCACAATTAACAACCGTTGGCAAAAAAATAAAAGAGTATCGCTCCATAAACGTCCCCAAAAGTATTTTAGACGACGATTATCAAGGGTTGCAAACATATTTTTGACAACAATCGTAAATCGTTGCCTATATGAATTTAAGGCAACAATTTCTACATGTTACCTAAAAAAGTGTTGCCAGAGACAACAAATGTTGTAGTGAGACACTTAATAATCAACATAAACCCTAAAAAATCTTTAATGGTACTTGGACTATTTGGTTACTATCCTTGGCATGATGGAGAATGGGACTCTTTCTTGGACTTAGGATTAGAAACCTTGGCCTATCTTGGAGACCTTGTGATCTTATCTGATTATTTTGTCTGGAGTTCTTGAGGTTTACCTCAAGACATTGGGTTGCTTGTTTGCTTTTGTGTGCAGGTTTTTGTGATTACATTCTCTGTTTGAAATCTGGAATTCACCCGTATACAGCCGTTACTCTGCCCAATTTTTGTGAAGACTTAATAAACTTGAAGATTGGTTCTCTCAAGAGGTCTAGTATCTTTGCTTGGTTGGTTTCAATCCAAAGAATGGGAATTCTACCTTGTCTCATAATGTCAAGTTTTTGGCTTCTTATTGGTTAGATGGTTTTTATCCTTAACTTTTACCTTATGCTTTAGGATAGCCTTTTCTTCTCCTCCCATCTTCTTTAATTTCAAAAATCTTCTCCCTCATTTTTTAAAACTCTTCTTGTTTCTAAACTTGAAACACTTTCATAATAAACTTGGACTTATGTCCATGCATTTTCAAAATCTTTTCATAAATAAATTCCAATCAATTTAATAATACCTTGACATTTTTGTAAGAAGACTAAAAGTCAATCAATCTCATTTCAAACCATCTTGCCACTTTGGCTTTTATCTTTAAACTTTTCTCAAAAGATTAGACTCTTGTCAATCTTTGTAGTGATGCAAACAACCATACTTCTACAATATGTAGTGAAGTAAGATATTTTCCACTTGGGTATTGAGTGAGGCATTATTGATTTTAAGATCCAAGCCATATCCTCCACTTTGAGATGATTCAAATTCTCCTTTCTCATGATTGTGGGTAGTAAGTATGTTTTCCACATGGACAATGACGATGATGTCTTATCTCTTAAAATTAACCAACACACTTGTGTTTCAAATTTTTAAAAGTTTACGGTACTCCTAGACTTTTGGGTTATTCGCTCTTTTCCCATTCCTTTGGAAACAATAAAGCGCGGTTGCGATTTTTTATTTTGATTTGTATAAAGTCTAGTCAATCCAATGGCTTAGTCTTGAACATTTCTACCGCTACTCTACAAATGACGCTTTTTATGACAGAACTTCACCTCAGTACAAAGTTGAGGACTAGACACCTTTGTGAAATACACATCACTTGTCCACCTAAAACCTTAAGGTGATAGGTTAGTGGGTTATCCAACTTATATATTCTCAAGTCACCACGATCTTATTTAATGTGTGTCTATTTCCCTACTTACACACACTTGCATTATTATTCTATTAAAATCCACGTGAAACATTAATAATCCGCGTGAAACTCTCAATAGTCAATCAAAATGTGAATGTAATAACTATTCATCTTAGATGTAAAATACTGAAATTTAAACTACATATATTGAAAACAATGACAATGAAAACAAGAGTAGAAAAATATTCTAAAATTGATTTCTTAATATTTAATTTTTTCTCTATTTAGGAAAATATGAAAGTAACTTATTAATATATACTTATTTTATGAATATTAATATGAAAAATATAGTGGTTGACATGATTCCAATTTTATATTGAACTCTCTCTTCATTGCAACTTCCTTCTAGGCTCTAAGTAGTTTTTACAATTACTAGATTTTATTGAATCTTTTAAGTTGGTATCATTGAAAGGTTATATAATACAATATCAATAGATTATTACGTAGTAATCTTGGATGTGTATATTTAAAAGATTTTGTATTAAACTTATTTTATCATATGTAAAAGATTTTTTTTTTAATTAAAATGTAAATTTTAGCAGTTTACAATTTATTATGCCTGAATTACGACATTCAAAAATTACATAAGTAGTAGAAAATTAACCGACGTATAATTTGCAAATATTTACTTTTATGCGAGACATATGGCCTCTGAAACCACCACTATTTTAAATAGAAAAAACGCCACATCAAATTATGTATAAAATGGCATTTGGCACGATTTTTAGTTTTAAACCGCCGTTTTTTTTCTAATGGCAGCCAAATTTAAGGAATTTTTTAAAACACCATAATTGTAAATCCTAGTGGTTAAAATTGTCGTAATCTTCTTAAATTAAACGCTATAATTAAAGGAAATTTTTGTAGTGACAACCTGCCCAGTCTGCAATAGAATACTCCAATATCTACAATGTTAAAGCTCTTGGAAACATCAAACCTTTGTCAAGATTCTCTTTTAAGTATCTGATAACTCTACATACTGCTTGATAATGAATTTGGCTTGCATATGTTAGTGCAAAGGTGATGAATTTGAGGAAGAAGATGAAAGGGAATAAATACAATAAAGGCTGACAACAAATGATTGGAATTGATGGATATAAATGTAATCCTAATACACCTATTTATACACAAATAAAGATGCCACATAGGCCCTAATTATAAACTTATCTTCAACTAACAAAATACTAAATTACCCTCTAATACCATCCCGTAATTTAGTAATTTATCAGAAGTTAACAACACCAATTTCATCTCTTAAGCGCAGAAATTGATCTGTTTTTATTGCCTTCGTCAGAACATCTGACAGCTGCTTCTGAGTGCTACAGTGCAGAACTTCTAGCACTCCTTTCTGCACTTGACTTCTGAGAAAGTGATACTTCGTCTCAATGTGCTTGCTTCTGCCATGTAGGACTGGATTCTTTGCAAGATTAATTGCAGACTTGTTATCAATCATCAGCTTCAGAGGTTCCTCAACTTCTACCTCCAGATCATGCAGCAGATTCAGAAGCCAAACTGCTTGACAGGCAGCTACAGCACCAGCAATGTATTCAGCTTCACATGTTGACAGAGCCACAACAGGCTGTTTCTTGGAACACCAAGAAATTAGACCTCCCAGAAACTTAAATAAATACCCAGAAGTGCTTCTTCTGTCGACTCTGTCTCCACACCAGTCAGAATCAGAATAACTCAGAAGTTCTGATTTGATCTTTCCTCCAGAAGGAAATAACACTCCATATTTCAGAGTTCCTTTTATGTACCTCAGAATTCTGACAGCAGCTTGGTAGTGAGACCACTTTGGTTTGCTCATGTATCTGCTGACCATTCCAACTGCATAACAAATATCAGGTCTGGTATTGCATAAATACCTCAGAGAACCAACCATCTGTTTGAAGGTTGTAGCGTCCACATCCTCTCCATCAGAATCAGAGTCCAACTTCTGATTCGTATCAGCAGGTGTGATAGCAATCTTGCAATTTGCTAGCTCAAATCTCTTCAGAAGCTCTAATTCATACTTCTTCTGATGTAAAATGATTCCTTTCTCAGAGTATATAAGTTCCATCCCTAGAAAGAAACTCATTTTTCCAAGATTTGTCATCTCAAACGCCTTCATCAGAACTTTCTTGAACTCAGCTGTTTCTTGTTCAGAACTTCATGTGAGTAATATGTCATCAACATATAAACAGACCAGAATCATATTACCTTCTGAAGTATGCTGAACATAAACACCATACTCCATCTCACACTTCTGAAACCCTTGTTCCTTGAAAAACGAATCAATCTTCAGATTCCAAGCTCTGGGCGCTTGCTTCAGTCCATACAGAGCTTTACTTAACCTGTATACCATCCCTTCCTGATTCTTTTTCACAAATCCAGGAGGTTGTGACACATAAACTTCTTCCTGTAATGGACCGTTCAGAAATGCAGACTTCACATCCAGATGTATCAAAGGCCAATTTCTGTTTGCAGCTAAAGCAATCACCAGTCTGATTGTTTCGTGTCTAGCTACAGGCGCAAATACCTCAAAGTAATCTAGTCCAGGTTTCTGAAGAAAACCTCTGGCCACTAGTCTCGCTTTATGTTTGCCAATTGATCCATCTGGCTTTAGCTTCTGCTTGAAAACCCATCTGACGCTGATGGCTTTCTTGCCTTTTGGAAGTTCTGTCAGCTTCCAAGTCTTGTTTCTTTCAATAGCCTCAAGTTCTTCTTTCATGGCATTCAGCCACACTTTCTTCTTGAGCGCTTCTTCAATACCCACTAGTTCAGAATCTACTAGCATGGCACACTGAACGATTTCTCCTTCAGAATCTACTTCAGTATCA